CTCACTCTCTCTCTCTCTCACACACACACACTTACTCCCTGGTTCTCACCAGGTAAATGTTATACATAAGTACATATAGGATAAAGGTAACTTAATCGATCCGAAATTAAATTCCTTCGTACCGAGCGTTCTCGATTTGTCTCGAATTTTATAGTATATTTTATTATGTTAAGTATATACAGTGTGATACTCCGAGCATGCCCAATCATTTTTATATATATATATACATGGACACAACAGTATAATTATTAAAATTCATATTTTTGGAAATTTTGGTTAAGCTTGAGAGTTATATTTTCAAATTCTTAGTATCTGTATACAAGAGTTAAGACTTAAGGATTGTCGTGAAATAAACTTCTTTGTTCAAATGAAAACTTTTTATTGGTAAATTATTTTTTTCTAAAATGTTGACACATTTTAATTGATTTTCGAAGGATTAATTTTTGAGTTATTATACTTATATTGAACAAAAGGACAATAGTCTGTAATAACGATTTTACATACATTTTAGATATCATATCTATATGCAATATTTAGACAACAATAGTTATTGTTCTTGGGCAATTTTAACAAATTATAAAATATCGTAAAAAATAATATTAGTTACTGTAATTTTCAAATCATCATAACCACCATATTATTATGTTGTAACCACCCTATTAAAATAGACTATATTACATTATTGCCTCAGTACGATAACTTGAATTTTAACAACTCGGAAATTACTCATTTGAATGTCGATTTATTGGTAAAAAACGTGACACGTATTATATCCTTAACCATTCTAAATAAAAAAGGGTGGTTCTCATTTCAGTTTTCAGTTTGTATCGCCTCATCATATTATTATGGGGTGCTCCTCAAATTTCATAAAAAAAAAACCCGAAATAAAATTTTGAAAACTTGGTCTTTGGTTGGGTATAGGTACTTAACATTTCCAAAAATCAGAATTTTAACAAATTCACATTATTGAAGGGAAAACAGGGGTGATGAGCTTGCTTGGTGGATCACCCTGTATAATATAACACATCAGGTTCTACAATAATACGTAGATATAATGTATATATACGTAAACAAATTAAATTAATAATTATCTCGACCCGGAATGCCCCGGAGGACGCACGGCGATTCGAAGACCACTGCAGCGGCGTTGCGTCGGACCGAGTGAACACGACCGTTCCCCACCCCGCTTTCGAAAACCATCATCTCTCGGACGGAGTGATGCGGAACGAAAAATACCGGCTGTGCTAAGCTGGCGGTATAAGTACGGGTATAGTGCGCGGATAATGGACGACAGAATAAAATAAATCGTGTACCATATAATATAATAATATAAGACGTAATTATTTCTACATATATATATATGTATATAATATACCATGAATAGCGTAATAAGGTCAAATCGACAAGAGCTGGTGTTTGTAGTTGTCGTCGCTCGCATTATTCGTATTCAAAATATCGTGCATTATATTTATATCGTCAAAATATAATTATATTTCTACTGGACGAATTCAAAATTGAAACGCTTTTTATTTTCAACCCGAGTTTTCGTCCATTTTCTCGACAGGTTGTAGTATAATATTAGTGTCACTAAACGAGAACTATAAAACGATTGTTGCTAGATAGTACAATATTATGTGTTTGCGCCAGATCAAAATGTATTTATTATATTTTATTATTATAACATGTATATTTTATGGTCATAGAATATGTTGTACGTTCCCGCTCTGGCCGTAGAAAAACGAAACGAAATGGAGTGGGGGCGCATCGTATATAATAATATTATAATATATTTAAAAAAATACTATGAAGATATTAATATTTATTATCATCGTGTGACGTATAGACACATTGTGCGTTTATAGTGTCCAGGTTTCCACTCGTGCAACGTATAAGTAATAATAATAATAATAATAATATTGAATCGGAGTGCCGACCTCGGTAGTCGCGGGACTCGAGCCAATCATCGATTACCGTGGTATATAATAGGTCTCAATATATAGTTATATATATAATAAGACATAATATTAATGCTACCGTAATACCCCATGACGTGAATAATTGGTAGGTTTATCGCATGTACAATGTGTAATTATACCTATTACCGTGCATCGCTTCTCGGCAAAAAATGAAAACAATATCCAATCACAGCACTCCGTTAATACATACATCTCAGCGTGTAGACATATCATTGTACAATATAAGGCACACCGCTTTACAATGAATATCGCAGGGTCGAACGATTTTGACACATGTCTTGGCATGATTTTTTGTGAAATACTGTTTGAAATCAGAAAATGACTGTATAGCCCGAAATTATATTGTAGTCAATGTATATGGTGATTTCGGGTATACATGGCTATTAAAATTGACAGTTAGAATGTGATTTTTAAAATATTTCTACGTCTCCTAACTATGATTGATGCGCGACCTGCAGATGACCAATATTCCAATATAATACATCGTATTACAGGTATAAATGGTGATTAAATGGAAAAATTGAGATGTGATTTTTAAAGCTGCATACTAATTTCGTCCAAAGATAACACTAGAAAAAATGTCTGATCCGAATTTAGGCTCGATTAATGTTTTCTCTGAGATTCCTCTTAATATTTGTCATATGTGTCATACCTATGTATAATATTATTATTGTTATCCATTCGATTGTAAATACAGCAAGCAGTAATAATTTAGGCTTATAACAATATATCATATTCATTTGAATTAGTTAAAGATAATTTTTTATCTTGGCTGGTAATATTGACAATTTAACGTAAATACAACACCAAAATACCAAAAACCTTAGTTGTCACTTTTCCACCGCTAAGAACGTTTCATCGCTGACAGATTTATTTTCTGAGTTTAGGTTATAAGTGCTAAATATATTTTTAGTCGGTACTATGAAACAGTTAAAAGAAAACCAAATTGACAAACTTGAATTTATAAAAATAATATCATACAAGTTTGTATACCAGTGCAATAATATTAATTAAACTATTTAATACAACCAACTTTTCAAATTAAATCAAAATTAAACTTTTAACATAAAGAATATCACATATGTTTTTACCTTTTACCAGTGTCATAATATTAATTTGAAAAAAAAAACATTTTTAACCTACTTGCAGTTGTAGTACCGATGCTACAGGCAGTCCTAAGGCTGTACGAAAGTGGAAAGGAACATACGTTTAGAATGTGTATGTGTAATTTTATATTTCAAAAACTGTTGATTACCTACCAGTAGTATTATGCAGTATTATATATACTAAAAAACAATTAGTATTTACCCCGAAAGATAAACTAGAAGAAATTTGTACAGCGGGAAGAAATCTGCCGCCCATTTTTAAAATACCTTTACAAATGGAACCCTATACTCACCCATGTCTCTGAACTATGATTGATGCACGACTTGCAGATGATCAAATGTAAAATACGCAAAGGACGTCACTATACTATTATAATATAGTCAAATGTGCGCCAAATCATCAGGTACTGTTAATATATTGCTTACTGCTATTTGCCAAGACCGATGGATACATATTATTTTTAATATTAATAGTATAACGATTTAAGCACATGTGTAATCATCATAATATAATAGCATACGTAGCCCTGAGGGGTCGATAATAATATAATTTATTATTGTTGGCTGACAAGTGAACGACCCAAGATCGATGATCCACGGCAAAATTTTCTTCTGTTTTATCGACAGCACTCGAGTTTGCTTTGTATACTTGAATACCTACACGCTACATAGTAACATTGGTGGTTTTCATAAGCCCTATTGACTTTCGAACGTTTTTATATATAGCGCATACACAATTATTTTAGGACGTTTTTTAAAAAAAAATTCTCATTTCAGTGATTTTCGAATGAAAAATAAATCAAGATAGCCTAATTATACCTAACAATGAGCCTCAGCTTAAAAAATGTTATGTAGTGGGTGAGACGGAGACGCTATTCTCAAAGTAAAAAAAAAATGTAAATGGTTCACTTATAGGTAATTTAGATAATAATTTATTATGCCTGATTCAAAATCAAATACGACATATTATTATAACTGTTTGTTGACAATTACCAATGAATAACCTAATGTCTATGACATTGTACCCACAGGATGTTTCACCAAGCGTTCTCACCGCTTTTTTTTTCATAATAACGAATTTATTAAAGTTCTGATTTTTTAAAATTGTTAAGTAAATTTAAGGACAGTGTTTTACTGTGTAAGTCCAGCGGCGATTCAAACTCATTTTTTCTTGAATAACCTTTTTAAGCAGAAGATTTTTTTTAAAACGTCGATGTACCTAAATCAAAATTTGAAGTTGTAGTTTAATATGGTAATTATTTTATAAATATTAAGTGCCAATATTCCGAGGATAATATAGCGCTTTAGAAGAGTTGAAAGATATATAAATAGAACAAATATTGGATGTAGTATTTATTATTAAGATTTGTTATTTGATTCAGATACATCAATATTTTGCGTAATATTTTACGTCACAAACCGTACGATTTACAATCAACAAATCTTTTACGATTTTTTTACCACCTCTCCTCCAAACAATAATATAACATTGCAATAATAACATTTTAATAAAGCGCACATCGTTGCAAGTGTAATGACGTGATACTACTATTATAGTAAAGTTATCCGCTCAAAGTCTGCAGAAATCGTGACTTATAATAAATTATGTCTTGATTCTAACGTGCGATTTACAGCGGGTAATATACGATAATTGTACGCAATAATCGGTGATATTAAATTGTTCACATTTTCGGTGTGGTTTATGACCCGATAATATATTATATTATATATATTGTAATAATCGATCGTCTCGATCTCGCCGCCGAACCACCGTTTGCGTTTGCCGATTTGCCCGTTTCACCGCCCCGTTCTATAAAAATAGTCAAATACCTACCTACCTACCCACCTACCAATCTACCTACCTACCTACCTTTCCTACCTTACCTAACGTTCTGCAGGCGAACGGACTGCTTTGTGTTTGACAGTTCCGACGCCGCCACCGCAGCCGCCGCGTCTATTATTTTTTCTCCCGTCGCCGCCGCCGCAACAGCGTTCGATTATATTTTACTCGTCCGTCTTCTCGACGATACTTAAACGCTCGTCGTCGTCATAATCATTTGGTCGGGTCTATCTCCGTCGTCGTTCGCGATTTTTCTATTTTTTTCATTTCATTTAATCCTCTCCCCGACCGACCGTCTTCATCGCCGTTTTTCTAAAAATCATATTAATAATATCGAACGGACCGCCGCGCCGTATGTTATTTCCGCGCGTCATGCAGCCAGTAATTGTATCGCCTTGTTCGCTACAGCTGTCTTCGTCTACAAACAGCCGCGTTAGTGACTAATTATTTACTGGGACAACGCATTGTTTTCAAAGTTTACGTCAAAGTTGATTCTGTATTGTTATTGTTTCGAGAACGTCACACCGCGCACCAGCCACCACTCGCTGTCATGCGGTACGCTACGAGCGCGGTAAGTCGTATTTCAATCATCTTATCATCATGTAAATAACACATCAATAACGTGCAATAGACGTATTATAACAGAATCATATTATAATCATATAAGATTTGGGACAACTTTAATCATACAAGTATAAAATGTATTGGAAAATATCAATATCAATTATCTTTTGGCGTGTATTAAAATATTAATGGTATTCCATGCTAATTTGTTTGGTCGTTAAATGAATACACTTTTGATAAAGCACATTGTCTCTTGTCAATAATATATTATGTACATACCGTAATTCTCATGCCATTAACATATTATTATTAAACAACTCTTTGAATATACACTTTTCTCCTGTCGCGATTTTGATTACATTTTTTTATCATCGAGGATGCAATAAATTTATATTTGTGGAAAATTCGTGGAAACGTTTTTGTTGAACATTAAATTGACTTTTAAAAATCGTTATTAAACGTAGATACAAGTCATATAGTTACATTCCTTTTTTAAATATTGTATTATAAGTAACCTAAATATGACCTTCGAAGTTGTATTGGAAGACTAAAAAATAAATAAAATTATAATAACAAACTCGATAATACGTTTTTATCAACTGAAAAATACTTTCATAGGACTTCAATTCTACACTAGTTGAAATGTGCAAACGTGTGTACTTATTTTTTTTTTTGATATTAGTTCAAATTATAAACTTGAATCGAATGTACTATTTACTATATAGAATACATCATTGAATTTTTTTTTATAGGTCAGGTATAATATACATATTTAAATATTGTTATCAAAAAAACTACATTATATTGTAAAAACTTCAAAAATATTGTATTCTTTAAATGATTGAAAATAAATTGTAATTTATTTATTTAAATTGACTGTCACGAGCAATATTCGATAATGAATTCAATAATTTTTAACAAGGAAGTTTGCAAAGAGGGATAAAAGCTAAATTTATTGTAAACAGCCACAAAATATTTCTGTCACATTCGTCGTCATGAAGTTATGTTGCTTAAGCCCGTAAAAAGTAAATACATGTATGAGAATATATTTTACAAAAAAAAAATATTTAGGTATTATCAGTACTAAAACAATAACGATTGAATAATCAAAATTATTTTCTACTTTCCCATTTGGCATTAACATTAAAGTTATATCTTAAAAAAACATACAATGTAGTTATAGGTGAACTGACCATTTAATGACATTCTTAAACCTGTGATAACATTCTGTAATAACTATAAGATTCATATCACAATATAACAAATAGAAGTTTTCTCCATCAACGGTTTGATAGGTAGATTAAATTATTTTTGTATCATCGGTCGGACATTTCAAAAATCACCTCTGCGAGGTTAATATGCTAAATATTTTGTTTACTATTATTTCATAACAATTTCCGAGAATTGTTTGCCATGTACGTCTCAGACAGTCAGACGAGTTTCGATAATCTTTTATACTTTTACTACTCTCGTACAGCCAACTAATTTATATTACCTACGTTATTACGACCTAAAATCGAAATAGGAAAGAAATTAATGAATATATTTTTTTTAAATAATCTATGTAAACTGTGTAAATAATGCCTCGTACGTTTTGACGATGATCTTGAACACTTTTACTATAGTTGTTGTGTGGCCGGATAATAATTATATTAATATACCAATATGAAATTATGTAAAAGTTTACACATTTACTTTAAGAATATTCAAAGCCATGATGATAGTAAACCAATTTTCCTGCTGAAATGGCTTATCAAAAAAATTATAAATTTATAACGGAAGTTGTCATCAATACATCAATACAAATTAGTAATCGTAAAGCACTTTAATTTCCTTCAGTAAGTATAATTCTGTATAGTAGTAAAATATAAAAAAAAAAACACGTGACTAAGAGAAAAAAGATTTGAAGGTTTTGAGAATGGTTTGTTATTTTTTTAATTAACAGTAAACGGGTTGTTAAAGCTCAAAATCAAAACGTTGATACATTTTTTAAATTTCTGGATCAGCTAACGAAAATAATAAGTAGAAAATAAACTGTAGGAAGTATTTAGGAATTTCCAGAGGAATTTAAGTTTCATAAAATTTAATAATTAGAATTTGTTATACATTTAATGCTATGTAATATAATATAATTTCGTTTCTCGTATTTTATTTTTCAACAAAGAAGTTAAATATTAAATTGTATTCATTTTTTATGAATAAAAATAAAGAATTCATCAAAAAAATGGATCTGATAATATTTTAAGTTTTTAATAGTATACAAATATATAATGGACAACCACGCAATCTTAAAACGACTTAAGAAATGGGAAAATAACAGTAACGCGTTTGCAGTTATTCTCCTTATAGCACTTTATTTGTATGACATTTTTGTATAAAAGAAAACTAAAAACATTTTCTTTTCATTATAAGTGAAACTGTCTATACTTTTATAGTATGCCTCTGATCTCAGTCACATCAAAAATAAAAGTTAGAGTGCTCATAGAGTTGATAATTTGTGTTTCAGATATAGGTTATTGCAATTTTCTCACTCAGTGGTCACTGCATATTAAAATATTATTTATTGGTTGTATTCAGAATGTATGACAGTACATAATCGATATTATACTGAATTCTTTTTCATCTACCTCCAATATAGTTTCTGGAAAAAATCTTCTAGTCAGTTTTTTAAGACACGATTCACAATGCCCAATTGTCAATCAACTAGAACTAGAAAGAAATGAAAATACATCATTAATTGAATCATAAACTCACGGACTTAATAAAAACAAAATTACGTTCTGATTCCGTAGACATTTTATCTGGATACTATATAATACACTATTTGATAATATTAATTATCGACATGACAAAATATACCATCGTCAAACGATGATTAGGACGCGATATAAAAAACAAATATTATTTTAAAGGGTTTTTCGTAAACTAGACTTAACAAAACATTCGGAAATATTGAACGTTTCGAGTACTTTCACGAGACATGTAGATTGTAGCCTGTAGGTATATACTTATGTATATGTTATTATTTTTTGTTATTGTTTTGCATTGCTGGTTCTAAAAATGTAAGTAATTTAGTGAGATGATATTCATAACTGTTCAATACATTTCAAGTTTTAAAAGTATCCTCAAAATGTTTACACAAAAATACTTTCATTGTAGCACATTTACAATTATAAGACATAACTTATAAGTACATTACTACCTACTATAATACTAGGGAAGAATAGTGTATAGCAGTTTATTTGTTTGTCTATAGTTTTTACTTAAAAAAAAAAAAGTAATACCATTTTTTTTAGCTATTGACAGGTTTTTAAATTTCAGTTTTTTGGTACTTGTTGACGAGGTAAGGAAATGTTACTCGTAGGTATTCAAACTGTTGTTAGAAATAAACTGTGGTTAAATTATTAAAAAAATAATAATTAAGCCTGTGCAAGAAGACTTATCTTTTAAATTATAGTATTATTTACTTACAATAATGCTTGCTTACTTTATCGCTCCCGGTATTTAAACAGTTGCATAGTTTTTAAAACAAATTAATTTTTTATTTGCCGAAAGTAAAAAACAAAAACTGTACAAATAAAAGAAGTATCATGTTTCTAATATCACGATTTCCGTGAATTTTTAATATTGACGTGAAATACGAACATCGTATAAGGTATAATGTATAGCGAACCTAGTGAAACTAGAACGGCGATAACTAGATCTCCTATCTTCGTCCGTAGTATCAATTTCTTTGAAATGTAGTCAAATACACGAATCAGTTGTTTATTTCTGGTTTTGTTCATTTTACGTTCCTACACCTCAGCTGCATACAGCATAGCTATAATAACTATTAAGTAACTTTCATAATTGAACTGTTCGTTATAATAATATGTGAAATCGAATAACTATGTACATAAATAAATATTAATATACAGTATGAATATAATATTGTATTTTACCACTTACGATGAAACCTAAAAGTTGCAACGTAAATGTGATATGACATAATATTATACAAGTTCACGTGTAGGTGTTGAACTGGAATCTGCTGCAATTATTATTGTAACACAATTGGTGCGGATAATAATTAATTAATATTTCCTCTCGACTTCTCCAGAAATGGCAAATATTCATCATTCGCGACTGTACGACTGCAGTGCACAAGCGTTTATTAATGTTTCTAACATTAAACGTTAAACTCAATCACTTTCGTCGCAACATCGCGAACAAGTAAACAACAACAATAATAAAAGTTACTGTAGTTCTAAATTAGGTAAGTACAAACAATTTTTGTTCTGTGTAGATAATGTTAATATATTATGAGACCACCATGATGTTGTTAGGATCTATGATACCTTGACACACTAGAACTTCGACGTTCGCGTTTAGCTATATATTTTTTATATAAGCTCTTCGCGGGAAATATTTATGTCCTGAATTTTTAAATCGTTTTTCCTTCCATTCTCCTGTTCGTAATACTAAGTCTCCTAATAAATTTGATCTTAGCACAGAAGAATGTTAAAATAAAGAATTAATTTAATTGTACGAACAATACCCCTTCCCCACACAATAGAATTATGGAAACCATTGGAGGATAAAAAATCGATTTATTCATGACACCAAACTTTGACTCATTAAAAATATATTATAACTTTAAACGTGTCAATTAATAGCTATATAAGTAACTACTATAAATTACTTGTACATTGTATTTCATTTTTTTTCACACACGATTGTTATCTTATCTTATTTATATAAGTCTTGGTTTCAAAATAGCTGAGATGATTCTTTTATCAATAAACACTCATCACTATCTCGAAAAGAACTAAAGTTTTGGAAAATAATAATTACATAATACACTTGAAATTCTACCGAAACAACATTTTCGAAACACAATTAAATTGTATTATTATTTCTGTTTAATGACAACTTATCTGAAGCAGAATATTTTTTCTGATAATTGTTGTAGTTTATAGTATACAAATTTAATTTTAAAAGGCTAATAAACACATTTGATATCTTATA